CCGGACCCCGGCCCAGACCCGGAGGCCGGCCGCGGGACGTGTGTGCGTGTGTGCATGTGTGTGCCTGCGTGCGCATGCGTGTGTGCGCGCGTGTGTGCGTGTGTGCGTGTGTATGTGTGTGCCTGCCTGTGTGTGCTGGGCACGGCGGCGGGGCTCTGGTTCTCGTTGGCGTCCAGTTTGGGACACACCTGGCACGTCGTAAAGTGATTTACGAAGTGAAAGTGTTAAATGAGGCCACCAGCTGGAGCCCCGACCCGGCTTTATGAGTTTTATTAGGTGCCCTATTATGGAAAATAAACTTTAATCCGACCATAAAAACCAAATCTGAAAAACATATTTGCCTTGTAGTCTGGGACACTGCAGCGTTCTCGGCTGAGTCACTCCTCCAAAGGGATTAGTTTTATTGAGGGAGACTCAGGGCACCGCAGGACTTTGATACGGGGTGGGGGGCGCCCACGTCCTGCGGGAACCCCCCCGCAGGCCCCTCCCCGCGGCGCCCGCCACCCCCGGAGCGCGGGTCGGCCTGGGGTCTGGCGGGGGCGTGGGAGCGCAGGGGAGGCCGCAGGGGTCAGTTAACCCGCAGACCTGGAGGTGCTCGTCGAGCCAGCCCGGAGCGGGCCGGGGTCCCCACACCGCGAGGGGCGGCAGCGTCTGACCCGCAAACTCCGCGCCCGCTCAGGTCCGCGGCGGCCTGGGGGCCAGACGCTCCCTTCCTAAGCCTTCTCCGGGATTTGGATGTTCTACAGCAAGTCTGCCCTTTCAGTAGGAGGGAGGGAGAGAGGGGGGAGGGAAGGGGAGAGGGAAGAAGCGGAGGAGGAGGAGGGAGGGAGGAATGGAGGGAGGAAGGTAAGAAGGTGTGTCCTCGTTTTAATCACCTTAGCGTTAACTGTATACATATTGTTGGGCAACAGCTCTCTAGAATTTTTTCATCTTGCAAAACTGAAACTCCCACCCCATTAAACATCTCCCCTTTTCCCCCTCCTCCCAGACCCTGGCAACCTCCCTTCTATGTGCTGCCTCTAAGAATTTGACTATTTTAGATGCCACATGTAAGTAGAATTATGCAGCATTTGTCTCTTTGTGACTTGCTTATTTCACTGATCATTATGTCCTCAAGGCTTAGCCCTGTTGTAGCAGGTGTCAGAATTTCCTTCTTTTTAAAGGCTGAATACTATTCCACTGTTTGCACCTATGTATCCCATTTTGGCTTATTGTGAATCATGCTGCAATGAGCATGGCTGTGCAAATATCTCTTCCAGCTCCTTTTCAGTTCTTTTGGATATACACCCGGAAGTAGGGTCGCTGGGTCATATGGTAATTCTGTTTTTGTTGTTTGTTTGTTTTGAGGACCCTCCATATTATTTTCCATAGTGGCTGCACTATTTTCCAGTCCTACCAACAGTGCACAAGGGTTCCAATTTCACCACATCCTCACCCACACTTGTTATCTTCGGTTTTGTTTTGTTTTCGTAACAGCTGTCCTAATAGGTGGGAGGTGCTAGCTCATTGTGGTTGTGATTTGTATCTGCCTAATGGTTAGTGATGCTAAGGATCTTTTCATGTGCTTGTGGACCATTTGTACGTCTTCTCCAGAGAAATGTCTATTCAATTCCTTTGCCTGTTTTTAACTGGATGGATTTTTGTTGTTGTTGTAGTTCTTTATATATTTTGGATATTAATCCCTTATCAGATATTTGAGTTGCAAATACTTTCTCCCTTCCCAGGTAGCCTTTCATCGTGTTGATTGTTCCCTTTGCTGTGCAGGAGTTTTAAATGTTGACATAATCCCATTTGCCTGTTTTTGCTTTTGCTGTCATAGAAAGTCTTTCCCGCGGATCTTTCCAAGCTGACTTCCGCCTGGATACAGGGTGCAGGAAGGCCAACCGCGAAAGGAACAGGCCCATTTCGTCTACGTTCTAGGCGTTTCTGCACTCTTCAGACGCCAAGCCTTAAGGCGTCTGGTCAGGGCCCTCGGACCCTGGGCCAGAGCTCTGCGAGGGCTGGACAGGTGATCCCTGGACTGTGGCCTGGAGGGCACCGATAGATTGGTCTCTTCCTCACAGGAAGGTCTTTAACCACATTTTCTTCGCACACGCTGGAGACCCTGGCACACGACGAGGTACCCTTTCTGAGAACGGAGGACTCCCCCATCGAGGTGAAGAGAACCCGCGCCGAGGGTGGCTCCCGGGGTGGGCAGGGGGCCGGGCGGGGTTCCCAGAGGGCCGGGTCCGCTTTGGGCGCGGCCCTCGCTTTGGGGTCTGGGTGTCCCGGCGCCGCCGGGTCGGCAGGGCACACCCCGCCGGGTGGAGAGCGGGGAGACCGCCGGGCACTGGGGCTTCACCGCCGGAGGCCCGCGCCGCTGCCCGAGGGCCAAGCCTGGGCTGGTCTGGAAACAGTGCTTCGTCCCCCTCAGGGCTGGGCTGCGTGGGCCTGGCTCCGGGTCCTGGGAACCCGGTCCTCGAGGCGGCAGAGCTCCCTCCCCGCCGCGCGGGGACCGCGGGTGGGCGGGCGGGGCGGGGCTGGCGGCCGCTCATTATGCGGAATGAATTGTTCGCTGTGCCCGGAGTGGGTGAGGATGAGCCGGTGATTATATTTAAATTTGCTATAATTGATTTGGGGAAGAGCTACTGTGACAAGAACGAATTGATCATTAAATTTATTAGCGAGATAAATTCCGTCGCGCTTAAGCCGCTGGCTGGAGACGCTGGGGCCGCGGGCGGGTCCCGCCTTCCCGGCCGCCAAGTCCCCGCACCAAACCCGGGCTCGCTCTGCTGGAGGCCGGGAGCGGGGGTCACAATCATTCTATCTTCCTTTAGTGCGCCTCTGCCCCTTGTCGCCGAGGGAGCGAACGATTCCCGGGTTCAGGAGGGTCTGCACCTTGGGGTGGAGGGACGGACCCTCCGCCGAGGCCGGCGGCGCCCCAGCTTCCAGGTCGGACGCTACACCCCCTCCCCGGCCGCCGCCGGTCCCCGGGGGGCCCAGTGTTGAGGTAGGGGCGCTGACGCTGGGCCAGCCGAGCAGGGGGACGGCGGGGAATAACCCTCAGATGTGGAGCCAGCCGGGGCAGAGATGGCTTCAGGCTGAACTTCCCCAATGTGGTAGAAATTAAAACGAGATACACACGGATTGCAGATTTTTTTCAACCCCCAAAGGCATCTTTCTCCTCTCCCCCTCCCCATCCCCTCTAATTTTCCCACCCCTTTCCTCGGGCTCTGGGGCTCTCCCACCAGTTGCAAACCAGGTCCGCGTCCCCCCAAAGCACCTTTGGACCCGGAGGCGGCCAGGCCCGCGCCCTGCCGCCCGCGCCCGACAGCAGCTCCTGCCCAGGCTCCCAGCAGCGCCGCGCCCCCGGGCTTGGCTGAGGTTGGACTTTATGGAAGGAGCCCGGGGTGATAATGAGCTGCCAGAGAGGATATTAATCTCACCCTGGCCCTGAAGTCGAGGAGTGGCCCCGCTCGCCTGCGCGGTAATCACCCAAATGAAACTCCAGGCCCATCTGAACTCATTTATCAGCTGGGAGGAGGGGGAGACGAGGGGGCGAGAGCAGGGGGGAGGGGGAGGGGAGGGGAGGGGGAGGGGCGCACCCCGGCCCAGTTGCTGGTGAGAAAGAGTGAAAAACAGAAGGAAGGAGGAAGCCACGAGGGAAGGAGGAAGAAGCAGTGTCCCTGGCTCACCTATTTCCTCCAGGCCCAGGAGAGGCCCGCGCGTCAGCGGTGGGGGAAGGGGAGCCGCGCGGAGGGCGAGCCCGGCATGCGTGCAGCACAGGGTGAAGGCCCGGCTCGGCCCGGGTGATGGATGGCGCGCGCTGCCGAACCTTATTAACCCACAGCCATCGCGGCCCGGCTGGAGCGCTCCAGTCGCCCAGTGCTGTCCTCGCGGACGTTTGCCCAGATCCAGGAAAACCAGTCCTGGCCGGCCAGAGAAGGTTTTTCGGGAGAGACGCCAGGGCCGACGAGAAAGAGAAGCGCCGCGCTACGCGAGGCAATGCGGAAAAGGCGCGCGAGCAGCGCCCCGGGCCGCACGGACCCCAGAGACCAGTGAAGTCTGGTGGTTTGGAGCTTGTTTTCTGAAACATTCAAATAGTGTGTTTCCGCTTCTGGAGCGCCGGCGATGCAAGAAGATCCTCAGAGAAAGAGGAAAATAAGTACATGGCGTCCAAAGTTACTCCTTGGAGATCCTCGCATCCGGGACAGATGTGAGCCGGCACGCGGACGCGCGCTGACACCTGGCCTCGGTATTTTTACCGACACTTCGTACCTGCGACTCCCCAGCAGCCGGAATCAAGTTCCTCACCGGCCTCGGGGCCCAGAGAGGTGGCGGTCCGGACACCCGCGATTCTGATTTTCACCTTCTGCTGTCAGTTGAGGAATACAGCCCATCATTTCAACGACAAAAATAGTAAACCCCGCTTTCACAACTCCCCTCAAAAGATTTGCGCTCTCACCCAGTAAAAAAACCAATTTATTTTACATTCCATCGTGGGCGATGGGAGAAGCTAAATGATAATTTAGCATGCGTAAGTAGACATTTCTTTATATATATATTTATAAATACAATATACAAAAATAAAGACAATACAGTTTTGGGACTTCCAGCAGTTTGGACGCTCATGGCATAAATCCCTCCCCCTCCCCCCGAGATACATAAGCACAAAACATTTTTTCTTTTCTGAGCACTCAGAAGAACGGCGTGTCCAGAGGTTTCAAGTCTCGGAGGTGGTTTAACACTGTAGGTTTCCGCCTTCTCCACTCGGCAGGAGGGGAACCGGGAGCCTCCCCCGATGAGCGCTCAGTTCTTCTCGGCAACACCTCCCCCCAGCGCAAACCAAATTAAACGAAAAAGAACCAGAGATCAAGTTTGAACCTGCTGGGCCTCCCTCTTTCCGTCCCTTGAAGAGCAGACGGCTGCTGGGGCCCACAAGGGCAGCAGCCGCCAGGGCCGGGCCGCCTCCGCTCGCGGGCCTGGGGGGCGGCCCTGGGGGGCATGGGAGGGGTCGCAGCATCCAGGCCGGACCGCCACCCGCCGGCCGCGGGGCTCCTACTGGGGCGGGGGCTGGTGGCCGGGCCCGCCGGACCGCGGGGCAGGCGAGTCGGCCCCGGAGGAGCAGTCAGAGGAGGCGGCGTGCGTGCTAGCGCCGTTGCTGTAGGGGAAATGGTCCTCGTCGTCGTCGTCCTCCTCCTCCTCGGGGTCACTGTCCCTCAAGTCCCGCAGGCGGCGTCCGCTGCCCTTGTCCCCGGGCGCCGGCGGCCCCAGCAGCTCCTCGTCGCCTTGGTCCCCGGCGCCGCCGCCTTTGCCCGCGCCCGCGCCGCCCTTCTGCTTCTCGGCCTCCTGCGCTGCCTGCTCTTTGGCCTTTTTGCTGCGCTTCCACTTCATCCGCCGGTTCTGGAACCAGATCTTCACCTGCGGGCACAAGCGGCGTAAGAAACCTGCCACCTCCGTCCCCGCCGAGTCCCCGGGCTCCTGCACCCGCACCCGCCGTGCGCGCGCCTCCATCACCAGGCCCGGGCGTGGGGCTCCCACTGGAGGACTCGGAAGCTCCAGGGGGACGGCGCTCCCCACCCTGCGCGTCCGCAAAACCCAAAGACCGGCTGGGGGCTCTGATGAAGCTCAGACGAAGACCCCTACCTCCCACCCCAGCACCGAGGTGTGCGAAGGGCCAGGGCTGCTGGGGTACCTGTCTGTAAATCTCAAGATGTTCCCTCCTCTCTTTCTGGAGTGAAATCTCTCTCATGTGGCCTGGGGACCACCTGCTTCAGAATGGGGGGGTGCAAATTCCTGGGCCCAACAGAACCAGCTGTATCAGACCTCTGGGTGCCAGTATAGGAACCCTGGGGGCAGATGGGAACCCTGGCTGGGATGTTAATCCACACCCTAAAGGTCAAATGGGCACAGCTCCAGGTGCCCAGGAAGGCCGAGGGTCAAGAGAGCAGAGGCGGCAGTGGCCCTGGGAGGCCAGGCCGCGCAGAGGGCGGCGCGGCGGCGCACCTGGGTCTCGGTGAGCATCAGGGAGGTGGCCACCTCGAAGCGTTTGGGCCGCGACAGGTACTTGTTCAGCTTGAACTGATGCTCCAGCTCGAGCAGCTGCTGGCTGGTGAAGGCGGTGCGTGGCCGGCGGCACTTCCCCAGGAGGCTGGACTGCGCCTGGGCTGCGGTGGGAGAGGCTCGTGAGCCCGGGTCAGTCCACGGCCCGCTGCTCGCCGGCCCTGCAGGGTCGCTGCTCTTTCTTTAGTGTCAGCGCCCCTCCCCAAGGAAGCCCTGGAGCCCAGGACCCCTCAGCCAGGTGGGCCCAGACGGTTTGGGTTTAGAGGGACCAAGTCTTTTCATCCCAGGCGGGGCCCGGGTGTCCTGATTAAAGAGAGCCTATCACCCAGGCACGTCCTCTCCACCTGGGTGGGCGTTGGTAGAAAGCAGGTGGACAGAAAGGCAAGTAGCAGAGGCCCAGGGACCCCCTCCTCCCCACTCCTCCCGGCACCTTCCCCAACTCAGGCCCAATCCACACAGGCCACCGGAATCACTTCCTACTTCTTCCTGCCCAGCGAAGAAGTGGTGCAGGATTCCCACCGCCACCTCCTGAGGTACAAAAGGAATAGGAGAAAAGGGGAAAAGCTGAGGAAGGAAGGAAGGAAGGAAAGAAGGAAGGAAGGAAGGAAGGAAGGAAGGAAGGGAAGAAAAGGACCAAATTCTGGTCCTAAACATGTGTATTCATCAGAGGCTCTCCCGCATGTGAAATGTTTTATTGACAACGCCTGCCCAGGGTCCAGAGGGGCAGAGCCTTGGGAGATTGGAAGCCTTTCAGGACAATTCTCATTACGCAAATTAAAGGCCTAGGCACAGGGGGATCCGGCTTTCTACGTGTTCAAGGAGGTCTCTGGGCTTTATTTACATAATTTCACACGGTTACATCACAGAGAATTTTATGACCTCAAAGCGAGACTTCCCTTGATTTCCCAGGAGCCTGACAAGTGTTAGACAATAAAAGAAAGGAAAGGAAAGAAAAGAGGCCAGCCCCGGGCAGGACGAGCTCAGGCTCCCATGGGATGGGCAATTTGCTTTATGGGAAGGCCCACGCCCCCCGCTTTAGTTAAACAAGGCCCCGAATTCCCAACTTGACAATACATTAGAACTTTAATTAAAACACTGGCTCTGAAGGGACCATTTGGGAAATGCCATCTGATGGCTGAGACACCAATTAAAGGAAACCAAACAGGTTTCCAGCGACCAGAGGAGGGACTCTCAGAGCCCCTTCTGGCACGGTCACCTGTTACTGCCCTTCAGGATTGGGTGTTCAGATTCTTTTTCTGAACTTAAAGCTGGCTGGGTTTTAATTAGCTCACTCTGGGTCGAGATTAGGAATAAGAGATGGACTAAGTGTGTTGGCAAAGGGATGTGGCTTTAGTCGGTTTTCTGGGCAATCCTGGGCTCCACGCAGGCCGGGGAAGACAGCCGGGTGGCCAGGGAACCCGGAGCCCAGGGGAGGCCTGTGTGGAGATCACCGCTGCCTGCCCCCCCCCCCATCGGTGGGAGACTAAGCCTGCCAGGCTTTGGGAGATGCAGGTCACAATAAAAGATGCGTGGGGTGGCATTCCATCAGAAGGGCTTTGCTGGGCTCTGAGGCCAGGCCTGGAAGGGTGCCTTGGGTTTGGCTGACCCCAGATCAGGAGCTCAGATATGCCTGAAGCCACAGAAGTGAGAGCAAGCTTGCCCTCTTCTTTGCCTGGGGTCGGGAGGGGTGACTCCAACGGAAGGGATGGGTGGCCATTAGGGCCTTCTGGGAGCTGAGCCGGGAGCAGCCTGGGGTGGCCACGGGCAGACAGCTCACATGCTGGGATTTTCTCACCCGGCTGTGACTTCTCCAGCCTCCTGGGATCCTGGCTTTTCTCTGTTTAGTCACGACCGTAGCTTCTAGCAGAGGAATCTGAATTCTGGCAAGTGTTTATTTCTGTTTTCTTTTTTGCTTTTTTTCCCTTCCCGTGCCTGCGTCTCCCCAGTCTAAACAAATCCATTCAGACGGAAACAATCGGGTCTCTTTGTTTGGGTGTTTGGCGGCTGAAATCGTTAAGCCTCAAGCATCTTCCTCTGAGTGGTGCCCGGGTGGAGCGAGCGGACCTGAGATCCAGAATCTCTGGAGCTCCACTCCCGCGCGCCCGCCCGCCCGCCCGCCCGCGCGCGCCAGGAAAGCCCGAGAGAGAGAGGCCCAGGCCTCGGCCAGGTGTCCCGCCTGGGTGGCGAGCACGCCGCCCACAGCTGGGCGGCTCTCGGGTTGGAGATGGCCAGCCCTCCCGCGCTGCGGTCTTGGGGAGGGTGCGCGCTGTGCTGGGCGCCCTGAATTCGGAGGCGGGCACCTGCAGCTTAGAGCCCCTGAAGGAGGGCGCATCTCTCGGCCTTCCGGAGCGTGCCATCTCTCTGTTCAAGTCAGGCCACCCGCCTCCTGGGCATCGCACCCCGGACCCAGCGCCCTTCCAGAGGCGGGCAGAGCCCCGCGAAGGGCCAGGAGGTCGCCCGGGGCCCCTGCCTTACGTCCCTGAGCCTCTTGAAGCTCATTTCTCCTTCGCTAACTCTGGGAGCGCTCCCTCTCCTGGGAGAGACAGGGGTTCTCTCCAGAACCCAGAATGCGGGACCGAAGTCACGTCCGTTTCCCTGAGGATAAATCCCTGGTTTCGGTGGCCCCCGATTCCCAGGCACACCTGACTCCAGGGCGCTCCTCGGCTCGCCTTCCCCCACCACTTCCTTCTCCTCTAGCCTGCCGGTTAATCATTAGGTTTTAGTCTCACACCTCCAGCTGCCCCTTCCCATTAAGAGAGGAAGCGAAGCAAGGTCCGCGCGTGGGTATTTTAATCATTCGCTAACAATCCCACATCGCGCACCCCGCGCGAGTCCTCCGAGGCTCCGGGCAGAGCCGAGGCGGCCTCGCGGCGCTCCCACAGCTCGCTCGGAGCAGAGAACCAGCAGAAGGAGGTGCCAGGTGGAGGAGGACGCACGAGAGAACCTTCTGCCAGCACTCCCCTCCCCCGTTTCCTCCTCCCTCCGCAGGCTCGGGGGCTGCGCAGTACTCACAGTTAAAGTCCGGCATCTTGGGCAGGATCATGCCCGCGGTGGACGCCCGCAGCCACTGGTCCAACTGAAAGGTGCCGGCGCCCAGCTTGATGGGGTCGGCGGGGTGCGCGGGGTGCGCGCCCTGCACCTGCGGGTACGAGTAGGAGAGCGCCGGGTGCTGCCCGGCCAGCGCGGCGGCCGCCGCCGCCGCCGAGTAGCCGTAGACCGGGTGGCCGTAGAGCGCCGCCTGCGCCGGGAGGCCCGCGCCGCCCTGCGCGCCCCCCGGGTGCAGCCCCAGCGCCAGACCCCCCGCGGCGGC